AGATATATATCTAAGAGAACTAAAAACATAAGCTGCAGCATTCACAATAGCCAAAAAGTAGAAATAAGACTATCAACTGATGAATGGATAAATAAATTGTATGGTATAGCCATACAGTGGAATATTGTTCAGCCATAAAAGGGATGAAATACTGATGCCTGCTACTGTGTGTCATGAGCGTCAAAAACCATATACTAGGTGAAAACACAAGAAGCCACATAGCATTTGTTTCTGCTTACTGTATATGCAATATTCAGAGTAGGTAAACTCATTAAGGCGTAAAGTAGATTAGTTCTTCCCCAGGCTTGAGAGGGGTAGGGAAGACATAAACTCCTTCTAATGGATATCAGGTTTCTTTTTGAGGGTGATAGAAATGTTCTACAATTGATTGTGGGGTTAGTTACACAACCTTATGAATATACTGAAAACAAATTGTGTACTTTGGTGATTTTTATGATACATAAATCATAGTCATCCCTTTGTATCCCTGGGAGATTGGTTCCAGGACCCCTCATGGACACCAAAATACAGAGATTTTCAAGCCCATACATAAAATAGCATATTTGTATGCATATAAAATAGCATATTTATATACATATATACCCTATGCATATCCTCCCACATACTCTAAATCATTTCTAGGTTATAATACCTAATACAGTGTAATGTTGGGTAAATAGTTGCTGTACTGTACGGTTTAGGGAATGACAAGAAAAAGCCTGTACATGTTCAGTATGGAGGCAGTTTTTTTCCCAGTTATTTTTGACCTGCAGTTGGTTGAATCTGGAACCACTGCAGATACAGAAAACTGACTGTATATCTAAAAATGAGAAAAAAAAGAAAAGGAAAGGAGAGGGCTTAGGATGCCATTTCATGTAACTTGGGATAGGGAATGTGAAAAGATGGGTCTGAGTTGGAGGTTTTAGGTCCAAGCTGAGTTTATAAGATTGACAGAATGGCAGTTGGGAAATATCCTAAGAACATATAGAAAGACTGCCGAGAGTATTGAGGTCCCTGTTGTAGTTGGGTATCATAAATTTATAATAGCACCTTTTATTTTATAATTTTTCTCCTCTGTCTTGGGTCAAAACTTAGAGGTGATCTCTATCTGGTGTATAAAAGGTCAGGCTTAGGGAAGAACCCAGGGTTTTGCACAGAAGGGTTGTAGTTTGGAAAATGAAGAGAGCAGAATCCCACTGAGGTTTGTGATTGGAGAAGAGGTGGTAGGGAAGGAATATAATGTTTCTCCATGGAAGGGTCTACTGAAGTGGAGTTAACTTGTCTCAAGTAAGAAAGGGGTGCTTGAAAAGAGCCAACCCCAGAAAACAAAACTGCATGTTATGTTTCCAGCATTGCCCAACACATTTGAAATAGCACAGTCTCATTGGTGACATCATCCCTATTGTTAGGAAGAGTTTCTAGAGCAAGCTTAGTTGAGGAACATTTCTTAAACGCCACCTAATTCTCTTTGTTTCTGGTCCTATATTGACCAAAGCAGTGATCTGATTATGATATGACTCCCCGTGTTATTAAAGAGAATGTGTTCATTGGTTAGGAAATAGCTTACTACTCAGTAAAACACTTTATAATTTTTAAATATCTTAAATATCTTTTATATTGTGTGTGTATATATATATATATATATATATTTTTTTTTTTTTTTAAATGAGTGTTTGTTACAGGGAAATGTTAGATTTCCAAAGCTAAGGTTCAGTGCATGATTCAAAATGTAAGCCTCAAGATGGTAGCATTTTTGAAGCCTATGGGTTAAAGCCTTTACGGGGTTAAGTCCTCACTGCAAGAAAACATCTACTTTCAAACTGCAGTGGAGAAGCAAATTCATATATTGCTTTTCTTTGTACAAATTTTCCTTTTTCCTTCTTTCTCCCTCCAGAGCAGTGTTCATCACATTTCTTAAATGCTTTGCAAGGGATTTCAAGTTCAGTGTGACCTCTGTACTGGGACATCATCAGACACAGATGCTGCTCTTGAAGGGATTTTGGCATTCAGTGGCTTAGCAGCCATGATTCAGTTTGAGTCACCCCCTCACAGACCAGATGAAAGCACTTTCTTACAGGATACAAGCCTTCTTCTTGGGAGTCATTTTCAACTAATTGGACTAGTTTAGGGGCCTCTGGGTTTCACTGGACTTTTCTACATTTCCTTCTTTTGTTGATCTTGGCCCCTTCACCTTCCACCCACTTTATTACTCATTTCTTAGGGGCCTGACTGCTCAGTAACAGTGAAAAAATGCATCTGAAGCCATATGGGTTGAATAAAACAAACTTAAGAGGGGGGGAGAAAAAAATCTGTGTTCTCTGAACTTCCTTTGTTTATGTGATCTGTTTATATGTCATTAAGGCCATGTTATTCAGCTGGCTCTCCACATTTCAAAATGACTGAAGATTTCTGGGGAACACTCCATAAGGGTCATGCTGGTATACTGAAAAGACGCTTCATTCATTCCCCACAAGATAGTCTCCTTTTGAGGTGTGGGAGTAGTGCCAATAGCTTCAGATGCTAACTAAATCTTGAGGTTCTTGAAAGGCCAATGGCTTCTGAGGACATTTTTAGGAACAAACCATTCAGCCGAGTCCTCTTCAGGTTATGGCATACTTACCAGGTTCTTTGAATGTTTATTAAGTACAGTGAGGCTGTATGCTGTCTCATTAATAGTTTTCTTTTGACAAGATGAACATTGACACTTGTGTAGGTAATGTTAGTATTATAGACAGCTATATTAGGTAGAAGTACTATAGGCAGTCAGACAGGGCTAGGACCTCTAGGGAGTCAGTGCAAAAGATGAGAATACATTGCACCTGTGGCTGGAGGTGCATCTTGAAGGCCAGGCCTCAGGATAAAGATGGAATGACCAGGCTTACATGACTCCCTAAGGATAAGAATATACTAGAATTGATACTACCTGGTCCAGTAAAATCTAGATAGCCGTCAGTCACCCAGGTGGATGACCAGGACCTCCTGACTTCATCTCTTCCCAAAAAGGTCCATGTACTTTCCGTGTACACTTGCTATGTGACTTCCTTCAATATTACCTAAGCAGCTATATTTGTAATCTCATTAGTTGATCATAGTTTTGTCCCACATTGTACCCACCTTGTAATATTGTACACACCTTGTGATTTTGCTCTATAAAACTTCCTTTGAGAAGTAGGCTTGTTGGCAACCCACTCGGGGACCCTCCTGCCTCTCAGAAGCTATCTCTCTCAATAAGGTTTTCCTGCTCTTAACCTGCGTGGTTCCTTCGAATTCATTCTTTGATTTTAGGGAACATAAACGCAGTGTATCTGACATCTAGCCAGTTGGGAGTGTTAATACTTCCCTTATATCATTTGGAGTTCCTATATCATTAGCAGCCCTGAAAACTTAAAATTCTTGTATATACCCTTGTATAATGTAAATTAAAACTCGGGTAGCCTTGGGTGACAATCTTTCTAAAGAACATACTCATAGAATCAAATTCTGTAGTGTTCGTTAGAGCCATTCCATTTGTAAAACACCCTGCTGCAGGGAACTGCAAACTGTTCCCAGGTACCCTGCATAGTCAGCTCCTTACTCTGTGATGGAGTGGGAACTCCTCTCTGCAGTCCAGGCTGGTCCCTATCTCTGTGACAGGGAAGATCCCTACAAAGATGGTTATGTTACATTAAGCTATTTGTAAACATGGACTGCTAAATAATAAATTTAGATGCACAAATGAGTAAGAACAAGAAATAAAACATCAGTGTTAACGTGTAGGAAATCAATTACTCACTAAACATGGAGGATGTGGTGTGTGTCATCTGTGTGTTGTTCTTATTTGCCCCCAGTGGGATGAACCCCGGCTGAGCTTCGCTAGGCTGTGGCTGAAGCTGCTGTGCTTTCTTTAATTGCCATTTCACTAGGCCTCCTTAGCAGCAGCACCTGAAAGAACTGCTGAGGGAGCTCCTGAGTGAATTCTCATATAATTTGTTTCATTCTCCCAGTTGATTGAGGCCCTTTTTTCTTGAGTGGTTTGCAGTTTTACTTAAGTGGCTGATGTTTAGGGTCACTGTTAAATGTTTTGTATGAGTATTACTTCCACGATGAATGGACAGTGGCTGCTTTTAGCTGTATGGGGTGAAGCCTTTAGTGGTAAGCCTTGAAAGGGAAAAATCTTTCTTTGTATTGATATGCTAAATGAAATTACTCTCTTTGTCCTTTTATCCTTTCAGTCTGATAACCTCAAGTTCTGTTGATTTATTTGTTTTCTTCAATTAAGCTTAGCTATTTCCTGTTCCCAGGTGCGTGCTGTTTCTGCTGTTGGTTATGATAGTGAAGTGGAGCATACTTCTGACCTGATAGTGTGGTTACCTTGACTCAGAACCACATCAGTGTGCCTTCCATCTTTCACTTCCTTTATGCATTATTTCCTTTTGGAGGGCACAGTTTGTCACCATTTAATCTTAGTATGATTCATGTGGGACTAAAGAACTGGTAATGCTGTAATAACAGTGCTATTCTTTATATAATAATAAAGAACTTACTTTTTTAGCCTTCCACTATTTATGAAGCACTTTCAGTTTAATCCCTCTTAATAACCCTGTTGGGTTAAGTCAGCAGCACTCTCTTTATCTAAGATGGTGAAATTGTAGCTCAAAGAGGTTAAGTGCCTCACAGAGTTGCAATGTGTCTTGAGTTACTCTGCTTAATGTTACTACAGGAGGTAAAGAACACTTTTGAAGATATTCTGGATGAACCAAATGAATTTTCCAAACTGTGTCACAGTTATTAAAGTCTAGCTTGTTTTGAGTCTGGTCAGTTGATAAGACTATAGTAGTTAAAAGCTCATTGAGCATAGAGTTTAAATTGATATGTCCCAGTCAGGAAAATAAATATTAGGTCAATTTCTGTTCTGCTGCTGATGTGAGAAAAGTTAAGGAAGACTGACTCTTAAATTTATGATACTTGAACTAGAAATAATTAAGCCATTAATTTTTTTTTTAATTCTCTTTTCCTTTCAGAGAGATGGAAAGCTTGATGACTAGTTCTACTCTACCGCCCCTTTTTGCAGATGAAGATGGCTCCAAGGAGAGTAATGATCTGGCTACCGCTGGGTAAGCAGCTGCTTGGGAACACTGAGCCTCTGCACAGGCTTCAAAAGAAAGCTTCTAACAAAGTGTGAGATGCTAAAGAGGCAGTTCTATGTCATAAAAATAGAGGTGCATTTGTTGTGCTTTTCAAAGAGTGAGAGCCATTGTAAACTGCTTCATAATCTACTGTTCGTTGCAATGCTCTGATTCCTGTGAACTGGTAGAATAATAATGTGAGGCTTAGCAAACTTTGGGACTCCAGGTTAAGAAAATTACACGGTCACCATTAAAATACCTGCCACAGAGCTAGCTCTCAAAAAGCAATGCATGCTCTGTTCAAATGTCCATGTTATTAAAATATTTTTTCTCAAAGTTCAGATATTTTAATACGATTCTTTATTTAGGATGCATAGGTGCTTTAGCTGACTTTTGTTCATTTTGTACTGCCCTCACCCTCGTCCTTTCTGAGGGCTATCTGAACAAATATGGAAAGGAATATAGAAAAGAGTTAGTAGCAGTAGTCTACCTCTTCCCTTGAAAATCTCTGTCCCACTTGAATTTTTGTATTTTCTAGATGTTTAGCATTAATTTGCCAAAGAAGAAATATATTCACTAATAGATTAAAGTGCTAGCTAGTCCCTAAGATGAATTATTTTAATATTCTTTAGAGCACTTTAAAAGAAGTAGACTATACTCTGGAATTGTATTTCCTTCTCTCACATTCATTTCTCACCTCATTAGTATCTGCCTTTTGACCTTACTACTCTGGTGAAATTATTCTCCAAGACTTTCCTAAAGGCAGCCTAGTTACTTAGCCTAGTTCATTCAATAAAAATTTCAGTGTCTATGTACTGGACTATTCCAGGCATTAGATCTAAAGCATTGATCAAAACAGACAAAGATCCTAGCCTCTTTAGAGCTTAAATTCTACAGGGAAGGCAAACACTGAACAGGGTAAATAAATAAAATACATGCTACATTGATAAAAACTCTAGATTACAAAATAAAGTGGTAAAGAGGGATCAGAAGGGCTTAAGGGTGCTTTATAAACAAAATGACTCAAAAAGTATTCGGTGAGAAAGTGATTCAATAATGCTTTAATGGAAGTATGGAAACTTCCTTTCCGAAGTTGTCTAGGAACGATTTTTCTAGGCAGAGGAGCAACCAATGCAAAAGCCTTGGGATAAAGATGTTCCTGCCTTATGGAAATAGCCAGGAGGCAGGTGTAATCATGGCAGCTGCACACCAGGGATGGAGCAGGAGAGGCCTGCATAGGTGCTTCTTTGGTGTGCATATGAATTGCTTTGTGGTCTTATTAAAATGCAGGTTCTAAATTAGGAAGTCTGAGTTAGGGGCAGAGATTCCACATTATCTGATAGGCTCTCAGGTAAACCCAGAACTGCTAATTACTGTGAGTACTAAGGATCTAGATCATGTAGGAACTTAGGGATGAGAATAAACAGCTCTTACTGTGAAGGAGATGGCAGAGTATTACAGGGTTTCAAACAGGGGGATATGGTCTTACTTATTTGATAATAGGATCTGTGTGACTGTTATGTTGAGAATAGACTGAAGGGAGCAGGGTCTAGAGCAGAGAGATCAGTTAGGGAACTCTAGAGGTAATCAGGTGAGAGATGATGAATTGAAGAACATTACTGGTAACTTTTATGGGAATATTTTTGTTGGAATAGTAGAGGCAAAAACTTGATTGAAGTGTTGCAAAAACTGTAGTAAACAGGGGCTGGGGATGTAGCTCAGTGGCAAAAGCGCCTGCTTGGCAAGCACAAGGTCATGAGTTCAATTCCTGGTACCGGAAGAGAAAACAAAACAAATGAATAAATAAATAAATAAAAACAGTACTAAACAGTATAGAATTCTAGACATATTTTGAGGATAAGCCTAATAGGATTTGCCTGAAAGACTAGATAAACAATGTGAGAAGGGACAAAAGAGCAAAAACAGTTCCAAGTTTTGATCTAAGCAACTGAAGGGGTGGAGTTACCATTCATTTAGATAGGGAAAGCCAAATGGGAAGAAAGTGTAGGAGCTCAGTTTTGAAAAATTTAAATTTCAGGTGCTAATTAGATATCTAAGCAGGCATGCCAAATAGGCAGTTCGATATAAGGTTCTGAAGCTAGAGGCTTAGGCTAGAAAGGAAAACTTGGGGCCATCACCATATAGCTAATATTAGAAGTCATAGAACTAAGTGAGATCACCAAAGAAATAAGTACTGTACAGTTAGGAAAGAAAAGAGATCTAAAGCCTGTGCTGTGAGAGACTGCAGCATTTAGAAGTCAAGCAGGAGAAGAATGAGCCAAGATTACAGTCAGTAAAGAGGTAACGGGAAAGCTAAAGGAGTACAGGGGTCTATAACCCAAATAAGAAGTATATTTCAAGGGAAGGGAAGAGATTGATTTTGCCAAATACTTCTAATAGATTGGAAAAATAAGGGCTGGGAAATGACTTTGAATTTAGTATTGTTACATGTTTGTCTAGCTGTCCCCCCAAAACCTCATGGAATCATAGGGCTTTTTTGGAGGTAGCTGAATCTAGAGTGTGATTAATTGGCGTGTAATGCTGGGATTAAGTGTGTGAGTGCTACACTCACCCTAGAACAGGTATCCTGCATACAGTATAAGGGACAGAAAGTATCTTATTTCTTGCTTGTTGCTTTTGCTGTCTTCTGCCAATGCCATGAACTGTTGCAGCTCTGCCATGTACCACCCTGCCTCGGAGACAACTGAATATGGACTGAAACCTTTACAAACTGTAAGCTAAATAAACTTTACCTCCTTAACCTTGGGCATCAGGTAGTTTGTCTCAGCAATGAGAAAAGTAATGAAGACAGAATTTGGTACCAGAAGTAGGGTTATTGCTGTGACATTACCTGGCCATGTGGCTCAAGAGCTTTGAAACTGGCTTGTTGGAAGGGAAAGAGTTAGGAAAGGTTTGGAGATATCAGCTGAAAAAGTAGAGCTGGAACACCTCAGGCTATACTGTTTAGGAGATTCTGGTCAGAATGCAGAAGGCCGGAAGGTTCATAGAAATCCTGCTGGTGGGCCGGGGATATAGCTCAGTGGTACAAGCGCCTGCCTGGCAAGCACAAGGTAAGCAGTTTGAGTCCCAGTACAAAAAAAAAGAAATCCTGCTGGTAAAGATCAGGCTCAGGAGATTTCTTCTGGGAAGGATTGCATTGGTTGTTGGACTAAAGATGATGGGTGTTATGATTTGGCAGAAAATTTGTCTGCATTTTGCTTGTGTCCAGAGACTTTGCCTGAGACTGAGATTAAGGGTGGTGAACTAATGGATCTTGTAAAAGAAATTTCAAGGCAGTCGAATGTGGAGGCAGTAGCATGGCTACCATTGGGGGCTTTAAGATCTGTGTTGAGAATCAAGAGCAAAGACCCTAGTAGGATGATTTAAAACATTGTGTCTTTGGCCAGAAAGGAAGCTCCAATAATGCTGTGGACTGTAAAGATAGAGCAGAGGGACTCTTAATTGCTGAGAAGGAACAGGAGAATAGAAAAGATGGCCTGAGGACCTCACCAGAAGCAGCAGAACTCCACCCTTTGCAGCCTCCCAATTGCAAAAATAAAAGACTTTGTTTTGAGAAGAGAACCCAAGAGCCCATGTTCCAAAATGGTGGAGGCCTAGAGAATTTGTTTCTTGGAATTGGATTCAGAGTGTCTCAGTAATGCAAGCATTACTGGCTGGCTACTACTGGCTACTACTTCCCCTGGCTACTACTCTAGCAGGCAACAGACAGCATCATCCACATAATACTCTTTTCAAGGGCCTGCACAATGCAAGCTGTGGTGTCAGCAGGCTTCCGCCCAAATTTCAGAAGAAGCCCTGAGAGTCCAGGCAGTGTGCTCTGTCTTGATAGGTCAGTGGACATGGACACTGTTGCGGGGCTTTTGACTAAGTTTATACTGAAAATCAGAAGCAAAAAGCCCATTTAATAAGTTTTTAGACTATGGCATAGGTATTGTTGGAGAGCCAAGAGAGAGGGAAGCCTGGCTACTGTTCCAGCTGGTGGCAGACCTGGGCATCATCCATGTGGTGCTGGCTTTAGGCATGTATAGAGTGCAAGAATTGGGTCAGGAAGGCTTCCATCCAGATTTCAGAAGAAGGCCTGGAAGGCCAGGCAGTGTGCCCCTGAGAAGGCAGTGTGTGACACTGTGAGTGTGAAGCCAAAGGTATAGTGGAGACCCTAGAAGTTTGGAGAAGCCAGGAACTTGGATCATCTAAGGAAAACTGCGAGAGAGCAGAGCGGGCCCAAGAGAGAAGCCGTAGGAGTTAAAACCATTAGAAATGCTGTAGGGGCAGAGCCAGCCAAGCTCTTTGGAGTTCACATCTTGCCACAGATTGCCTTGATGTTGCACATGGAACTACGAAACTTAATGTTTTCCCTGCTGCATTTTGGACTTGCTTTGATCCCATTCCTTTGTATTCCCCTGTGTGTAAGTTTTGGAATGGAAATGTCTATCTTGTGCCATTGAATGTTGGAAGTATCTCACTTTTTTTTCATTTGTACAGGGGCTCATAGCTAAGAGTTTGCTTTAAATCTCAGAGGAGACTTGGAACTTGGACTTTTCAACAATGCTGAAACTGTTAGAACCTTACAAACTCTTGGAGATGGACTAAATGTCTTTTTCATAAAAGGATGTGCGTTAGTCTTTGGGAGGCCAGGGGCAGAATGTTGTAGCTTGTGTCTAGATGTCCCCCCAGAGCCTCATGCAGTCATAGGGCTTTTTTCAGAGGTAGCTGAATCTAGAGTGTGTGATTAACACATGGTGCAAAGCTGGGTTAAGGGTGTGAGTACTACGTCTGCCCTAGGGTACATATCCTGCATACAGTATAAGGGACAGAAGTCTTGTCTCTTGCTTGTTGCTTTTGCTGTCTTTTGTGGCTGCCATGAACTGTTGCTGCTCTGCCATGTGCCACCTTGCCTTGGAGCCAGCCAATGATAGACTGAAACCTCTACAAGCTGTGAGCTAAATAAACTTTTCCTCCTTAACTGTGGGTGTCAAGCATTTTGGGTGTCTGAGTATCTCAGCAATGAGAAAAGTAAGACAAATGTGAAGGTTATTGGTGGCCCAGTCAACAGTTGTGAGCACATATCTACTTTGGGTTGGAGTTAAGAGAAGATAGGAAGAGAAAAACTTAGTAAGTATAAACAGTTCTTCTCAGGAAATTTTCTTTAAAGGCAGGTGAAAAAGCAGACTTTACTTGGAAGTAGGATAGAATATTTTTCTTTTGCTTCATTTGACTTTGTTTTAAGATAACAGTAATAACATCACCTTGTATGCTGATTAGGCTAATTCTACAAAGAATTTCTGGGGATGCCAGAAGGAACAGAATTGCCAGAAATCTGTTCTTGAGTAAGAGGGTAAGGAGTTGAGGATCCAAATAGAAAGGTTGCTTGCTTTTAGCTAGGAGCATGGACAGTTTGTTCATGGTAACAGAAAACATTGGTTGTTTTTTACTGCTCTGATTCCTGGCAACTTTGGCCAGAGATTTGTGGGATTGGTACTTGTTGTAGTTTACATCCAGGTGGCTCCCAAGAGCCTTATGCACTCCTGCATAGGTTTCTCAAAGGTGACTGGATTATGGGGTTAGGAAGTAGGGCCTGGTCTGAAGAGGTGGCTAGAGAAACCCTGTGAGCTAAGCTTGATGGGAGATTTTAGTCAGAGCTCAGAATACCAGAATGCTGATAAAAATGCAGAGAGTGAAGACAAGGCTCAGGTTTTAGTTGAGAACAAGAACTCCATCCTGTGTGTTACACTCTGGCAGAAAAATGTATCTACGGTTTGCTCATGTCCTAGGCAAAGACTGTAAGAGACTAAGTGTGGCAGACCAATTAGTCTGGCAGAGGAAATCTCCACGCAGCCCAATGTTGTGGTTGTGGCATGGACACTGTTGGGGGCTTTTGACTAAGTTTGTACTGAAAATCAGAAGCAAAAAGCCCATTTAATAAGTTTTTAGACTATGGCATCGGTACTGTTGGAGAGTTTTAGCCAGCTCTGTGTCAAAAATCAGAGCAAACAACACAGCTAAGTGATCTTTAAAATTTTTAGTTTCACTGGAAAGGATGGTCTATAAAGTTAGAGCAGAGGAGAGCATGTTTGCTTTTTTAAAATTAGCATTAAAAAAAAATGGATCAGGGCACTAGAAAAAGTGGCTTGAGGGCGTGTGAGAAACCAGCAAGGACAACCCCTTCCAGGTTCAGAAATGCAAAAGTGAAAAGTTCTGAGTTGAGAAGAGAGCCCCTGCACTGTGGTCTGAAAAAATTCTCCCAGATTTGGTTCACTTAGCCATCCAGATACTGGGAGACTTCCACAGCCATGATACAAGGTAGCCTGGCTACTACTCTAGCAGGCAACAGATAGCATCGTCCTCATAATACTCTTTTCAAGGGCCTGCACAATGCAAGCTGTGGTGTCAGCAGGCTTCCGCCCAAATTTCAGAAGAAGCCCTGAGAGTCCAGGCAGTGTGCTCTATCTTGATAGGTCAGTGTGTTAAGCTGTGAGAGTTAAGCCAGAAGTGCAGTGGAGACTACAGGAAGTTGGAGAAGCCAGGATAATGGAGCTAAGGAAAGCCCAAGAAGTCAGCAGTAGCAGGCCAAGAGAAAAACCTTGAGGGCTACAACTACCCACAATGCCTTAATGGTAGAGCTGCCCAAGTGCTGTGGAAGTTCACATCACACCAGTTTGCCACAGGTGCTAGACGCTGAACTACAGGATTTAATGTTTGCCCTGCTAGATTTCAGTCTTGCTTTGGCGCCATTGCTTTCTTTTCCCCATTCCTCTCTTAGAATGGAAATGTTTATCTCCTGCCATTGTATCTTGAAAACGTTTAACTTTTTAAAAAAATTTTCAGTTAAGAGCTTGATTTGATCTCCGAGGAGACTCTGGTGACTCTTAGACATGAACTAAAATACATTTTACATAAAGAGATGCACAAGAGATGTCTGAGAGCCAGGGGCAGAATGTTATAGTTTATATCCAGGTGTCCCCAAGGGCCTCGTGCACTTCTAGGTGGGTTGTTGAAAAGTGATTTGATTATGGGATTGTTATAGCTGACTTACTGTTAGGAGCTGGGATCTGGCAGAAAGAGGTGGGGAGTCACTAGGGGCTTTTCCTGGAGGGGTAAATCTCCCTTCCTCTCTCCTCCCTTCAGCCACTCTCTGCTTCCAGTTTGCCATGTTGTGAGCAGTACTTCTCTGCTGTGCTGTGCTGCCTTGGAACTGGCTGGTCATATAAGTACTGAAATTTCTAAAACTATGAGCCAATACAAACTTCTTCTCCTTTAGTTGTGGGTGTATTGTGCCCCAACAATAAAGAAAGTGAGTACTCTTTCCCAAAGCTAGTTTCCATATATTACTGTGTGAAGAATATACAAAAGCTACTAACTTAAAAATTGATTGCACAATTGAAATGAGATTAACAATGAAAGACAAGTTGCCTAAGACATCCAAAATGATTGAAATGTTTGGAAAACAACCCTGCCAAGATCAAATGGATCCCTGGTGGCACTTCATTTCAGAGAACATGATTGACATTGTTTGCATGGCTTCTTTTACATACTTTTCTTAAGGACTTCAAAAATGTGGGAACCTCCTGCTTCAAATCATCTGGTATATTTCCTAGGAAGAGTCATAAAAGTATCATATTTTCTGTACAGTACATCTGCTCTCATTCCTTTCTCTGTCCACTATAAGCTAATATTTATTTTCCTAATTCTACTAAGCCATACTTCCTAAAAATGCTAGCAACCTTCAGGTCTTCAAATTTAGCAGAATCTTTTTCACCTATCTTATTTTACATCAGCAGCTTTTTACTTGGTTAGCACTTCCTTCCTAAAAGTCTTTCTGCCTTGTTCCCTGCAACACGGTTCTCCACATTCTCTTAATTCTCTGCAGTCTCCTTTCCCGCTTTTCTACACTTGTTCCTAAAATGATATTGGTGTAGCCGTGTTCTAGCCTTTTTTTTTTTTTCTTCTCTACCCATTATTTCCCTGGGCTATGGGCTCTCAAATCTCTCTCATGCCTTTTCTTCATTTTTGCTCCCCCAAAGCATGTTTCCACTTCTCTGTGATGTGGCCACATAATTATGCTACAAGCATTTCAAACTCACCATCTGCTGATCTGTTTATGTCACACACACATACACATACACACAGACATACGCACGCACACACACACAGTTCTTTCCATCATTAACATTAAGTGTATCATCACCAGTTTGGAACCTCAGAATTATCTTTGATTATTTTCCCTTTACTATGTATATTCAACCATTAAGTTTTCTCCATGCTGCCCCTTTTTTATCTTCTATTCTCTATTCTCCTTGTGATTATCTCTTACTTAGCCTATTATATTAGTCTTCTTATAAGTCTTCCATTCTTCTCTCAGCATGCCTATCTGCCTAGAACGTTACATATTTGATAGATGCTTACTCATCTTTCAAGATGTTGTCTGTGAAATCTTTTTAACATCTTTTTTAACCTACACAACTTATTACGCTCTCAACTGTGCCTCTGTGACAGTGTGACCTCTACTTCAGTGCTTATACTCCATTATAATTATTGCCTACGATGTTATGGAACATGCATTCTTTCAAAGTTTTTACTGAATATTACTCTGTCCTTTTTTGCCCCCTTTAATGTTTCCAGTCCTCCCTCTCAAAAAATAATTCCCTAGCACGTGATGTTCCTTTTTCTTCCATTCCTTTATCCACATGTGATAGAGTAAGTCAGTCTAAGACTTTGCTATCATCTGTACTTTCTTTGTCTACTTCTCAGATGGATGGAACCCTTTTGCTAAGTCATCTGGAATATGTTAGTGGGGGCAGAAAAATGTATCTACCTGATTTATTAACATTTATATTTGCACTAATGTGTGGCTCAATGGTAGAGTGCTTGCCTGGCATGCTCAAGGCCCTGGATTCAATCCCCAGCACTGGGGGGAGGAAGGATAATATATATATACATACAGTTATACTTGAACTTACTAAACTATCTTGTTATATATTTTTTGGTGATGTGATTATCAGTAAACACTAGAATCCAAGAGGAAATGGCCTGTGTTAGGTACCATAAGAGTTATTGCTTATGCCTTTTAAGAACTTTGTCTTCTGGGGCTGGGGATTTAGCTCAGCAGCACAGCGCCTGCCTGGCAAGCACAAGGTCGTGAGTTTGATTCCCGATTCCTGGTACCGGGAAAAAACAAAAACAAATTTTAAGCCAGGCGTGGTGGCACATGCCTGTAATCCCTGCACTTGGGAGGCTGAGGCAGGAGGATCGCTGCAAGTTCGAGGCCAGCCTGGGCTACAAAGTGAGCTCAAGGCCAGCCTGAACTGCATAGTGAGACCCTGTTTCAAAAAGAAAAAAAAAAAGAACTTTATCTTCTATGATGGTGGCAGACTACTTCTACAACTCCCATTCCTGTTCATCTCATCCACTAGATGTTTCCCCTTCCCACCAGAGATCCACAAAAGGTAGCATACAAAAGTCACACTCTTAGATGTTCAGAGCTAAAGTATGAAGTCTAGTTTGAAAGGAAAGGTCAGTTTTAGACCTTTAGAGAATTATAATTTGGAGAATTATAGTCGTTTTGGTCAGACCTCTTCTTCATGGAACTGACCTGGTTTGATCAAATATGGAGACCATGTTTATCAACACTCTGCTTTTTTTGTTTGTTTTGTTTGTTTGTTCTTGGTACCAGGAATTGAACTCACAACCTTGCACTTGCCAGGCAGGCACTGTGCTGCTGAGCTGTATCCCCAGCCCTATCAACTTTCTGTACTGCCTATCGAAACACTTGCATTTATACAGATTGTAGTGGAGGGATTCATTCACATACTGATACATACTTTTGCTGGCAAGGAAATTTGTCTTGAACTTTGGTAAATAAGAGAAATTTCTGGTGTCACTGATAGTGAACTTTTACACTTCTGGCTCTTTGTTACTCAGGTTAACACACCCAGAGGTTCCCTACAGTAGTGGAGCCCCATCATCCACCAACAACACCGAGTTTGTGGAGGATCTCTCCCAAGGCCAGCTGCTTCAGAACGAGTCTTCAAATGCTGCAGAAGGCAGTGAACAGCGACATGAAGACGAGGTAAGCTAAGGCTCCACATGTCACTGCCCTCTGCAGCTTGCAGAGAAGCTAGTCAGCAAAAGAGTTATTCGTCAAGGTGTGCATCATCTGGCCTTCTACTATAGGCTGACACCTGCAAAGTGTTCTGTCTTACATTTCTTCGTTTATTTATTATTTTAGTAACACAAACACATTTATTATTATAATTAAATTATAAATAAATAGTTTATGATTATTTATTATAAAGAACACATTTATTATTTTAATAACCAAGAAATAGACTTTTTCCCCTGGCCTAAGAAATTATAGGTACCTCATATTAGATGTTCAACTCATGCTTGTTGCATAAGTGAACGACTTAAGTAATTAATGAGGAATCTACATACTCTTTTCAGGACCACACTGTGGTCATCAAATCCTGCAGCATGGAGCCATGTGTACCCAAAAGATTCACACCACTCATGACCTGCTTCACTTTCCTATAGCAGCCACCTTTCTCGGAATCACACAAAGGTTCCAAATGGTTTCAGGCAGTCTGCCCTTAGTCTTTAAGAATGACTGATTATATTTTAAGCATTTTTTACAGAAAAAAATAAAACGATTGATTGATTGATTGATTGATTGACAGGCCTCATTGTATAGCCAATGATTGTGTACAGATCCTTGCCTCAGTATCCCAAGTGTTAAGATTATAGGTGTGTGCCTCCATGCCTAACTTCTTCTGTTGGTAACCTTAAAGATCATAATGAATGTTTATTTTCTAGAACTTCTTAAAATCCTTAGTAGATTTACTCATGTGTTTGTTTTTGTGCGTGTAGTGCTAAGATTGAACCCAGGTTCTTGGGAATGCTACAGACATTTCCAGCCCCTTTAGTAGCTTTATTATTACTAACTTTACAAAAACATAAAAAAAGAAAAGAAAAAATATATGTATAGCTAATACCAAATAACACCATTTGCCAATTGGTAAATTGTCACACCAATTTATATACTTTATATTTAGAGGATTGTGGTACTACAGTGAATACTGAGATTTTTTTTTGTCCTTTTTTGTTTAGAAAGATATTGTTCTATGGAGCATGAATTCTTGTATCTATAAAACATTAGCTGATGGGCTAAGTGTTTTTTGTTAAATTACGACATAAAAATGTAATGTACCCTTCAGTCTCATAAGGCTAAGCAAAAGGCCAGGGTAAAACAGTAGTAGTAGTACTGCAGTCTCTTTTTTTTTTTTTTTTTTTTTTTGCATTTTAAAAGCCAAGATTTAATCTTTGATTTTACTAAGACCTCAATATATGAAGACCTCTGACTTTATAAAATATACATCTTAGGGAACAAATCATCAAGCCAAAGCACTAGTCTCATTTTGGATACATTACTGAAATTTTCCTAAGGCTTAGATATTAATTTAAAAATCTTTATGTTCTCTGCTATGGGAAATAAACTGGTTTTGAATGGTATCAATGAGAAACACCTTCATGAATTATTTTTAATCCCTGTGCTACAGCTTGTCTCTTTTTTTGCCCAGTGCATGAGACATCTTATTCTGATCTACTCTGAGGACATCTGCTTCTCTCTCACAGTGCTATGTGCACTGCTGCATTTCTTAGTTAGAATATTCCCTTGTCAGGAATCCAGACCTGTTAAGTAGATATGAAGGCCAGAGCTTGCATGATCAATTAGCACAAAAATAGCCCCTATTAGCTACAAATAGCAGTTTGGGGTGTGGTACCTAAAAGGATCTCCAAGCAAACCACCCAGCATCCTCAGGATTGTGCTCATTTGTACCTGTGACACAACTGGAAAGCTTTGACTAGGCAGGGTCTTAGTCACAAGAAAACACACAATTACCTTATTATGTTTGTGGATGCAACTTGTACTATTTGGGAGAATTGTTGTTGCTTAGTTTTGGTTTTTATTTTGCTTTGTTTTATAGCAAAGAAGTAAACGAGGAGGTTGGTCCAAAGGGAGAAAGAGGAAGAAACCTCTTCGAGACAGCAATGCACCCAAATCTCCCCTTACAGGATATGTTCGGTTCATGAATGAGCGCCGAGAACAGCTTCGAGCAAAGAGACCAGAAGTCCCTTTCCCAGAAATCACAAGGATGTTAGGCAATGAGTGGAGTAAACTGCCTCCTGAGGAAAAGCAGGTGATTGTCCTTACTGCAGATTCTCTGCCTGCCTTGATTTTATCTCAGAAACAATTTGCTAGAAAACAAAAGTGAGTAGGCAAGTGATGGCGAACCTTTTAAAGATGAGTGCCCAAACTGCAACCTAAAGCCTATTTATTGCAAAGTGCCAACACTACGATAAAACCTATCTGAATACTGAGATTTTAGTTTAGAAAACCCAACTCATACATTAACATCATTTGTCTTAAAAACAAATAATGTGTGCCATAGGTTCGCCACTACTGGGATAAACAATAGCTCCTTCATTTTTGTCACAGTGCCTTAGGGGACCAATGTAGTAGGATCCTTGTAATTCTTCTTTCTGGCACAGTGATTTTTTTTAAAGCTGGTCCAGTGTTCACTGCAGAGTATGAGTGGAAAAAACTAGGGTACCCTTCCACCAAGGCAGTTGTACCTCCATTTGATTTATATGTGGGGAATTCACAGAAGCTTATTCTAACAATTAGTTAAATATTAAGAATTAAGTCTATCAGCATAATTTATTCCAGTAAGTTAAATAAAAAATCATGAATTAAATGATAAAATGCATTTGATAAAATTATGTAAGTCACATAAGATTTTGTTTCAGAAAAAATAGTTTACTGCTTTAATAAAATTTTCTAACTAGAGTTCTGGCAAAAGTAATAGAGTATGGAAAGTAAAGCAGGGACTACTTGAAATCTCTCCTCTAAGACAGAAACTAACCCTGTTGCCAAACTGAAAGGAATTTGTGTTAGAGAGATTGATGAGGAATTCTGAAATGTCACTAAAGCAGAGTAATGATAGTGACTGTAGGATGGGCTTTGGGTTAAAAGTTCCCACCCTTTCCAGCATCTGATGCTTTAACAGTTCTTAAAGTGTATTCCAGACAGTCTAAAATCAAATTGAAAAATACTCTCTTGGAAATTAATTGAATTCAGAAAATTTCAAAGAGGTCACATTAAGTTGCAACTTTTGAAGCTCTGTGTTTGTGGTACCAAGCTAATAGGAAGCAGTTTGTATCATTCATTGTTTTGGCTTTACAAAACAATGAGATCGGGGCTGGGGATTTAGCTCAGCGGCAAAAGCGCCTGCCTGGCAAGCTCAAGGTCGTGAGTTCGGTTCCTGGTACCGGAGAAAAACCAAAAAAAAAAGTGAGATCGTGAGCTAATCCTACTAGGTTATGCTTTATTTTCTTTATCTCAAAATGAATGTGTGCTCATTATTTAGATTTTGCAAACATCGCAGAAGCATATAAATATAAAAGCAAAAATAGTAGTTTCTTCAGGGATAGCTGTTGTTGTTTACATGAGACAAGGGTTTTATTTTGGTCTTATCAACATTTTTATTCGAAAATAATTTCAAATACGCAAAAAGTTGCAGACATAAGAATAATCAGACATCCACATACCCATTCTGCAGCTTCACCTGTTGTTAATACACCTTACCCCATTTCTCCATTTGCATATCCACTCAGGCGTGCACATATCCAGCCAGCTCCTGGCTACCATGTCCTTAACATACACATATACAAATTTTTTGTAAGTCATTTTAGAATAAGTTGCATACATCATGTCTCTTTACCATTGAACAGTTTAGTGTGTGTTTCCTAATAGAGGTATTCCCTTACATAACCATAGTAATAAAATACTGTAGTCTACCATCCATATATTATTTCTTTCTAACAATTTCTCCTTCAGTGCAGATTCTAATCTAAGGTCAAGTTTCATCTTTACTCAAATCTCTGTAGTTTTCTCTTTTTGTTTTTGTTTTGTTTTAGCAGAATAGTCCTCATTTTGAACTCTTACGGTATTTCCTAAAGATGAGATTGGAGTTAGAGCTGTGCATCAGGTTGGTCTGCCCTTCTGGGCATCACGTATACAGAAACAGTGTCCTTTTATTCTTCATAAGTAATGTTCAATAACTATAGTAATCAACTTCATAATTTAAATTAAAAAGATACTTTATTATTTTGATGTGTACATTATCCCAGATTTGACCATTTGGGTGTCCCTTAATCTGGTTCTTGTGTGGGACAAGGTTTGTTTTTTGTTTTTTGTTTTTGGGACAAGGTTTTTAACATGACTTCTGACTGATTTGTCTTCATTTAGAAGCAGTATCTTAGATGCATGAAAAGAACAAAGCATTGAACAAAATAATCCTAGTAAATCAATGAACTTTTAAAAATAATAGCAGAAAACCAAGCATGTGGATTTAGGCTGTCTTAAAGTTGTCCATTTTCAGGTGCATAGGATAAGGTCATTCTTTTTTATCCTCTGTGTGTCTGTTTGGTTGTATACTACTTGGCTCCCTGGCTTTTAAAAGGCCAGTTGATGTATGAGATCATCCCTCCGCATAAATTGGGGTAGAGAAATCAAGTAGTACTCCTTTCCTCCCCTGATGTTCCTGTGTAGGGTGGAGGCCTCCTAAGAACCCTGGTCCTAGGGCTGGAGGAACAACTGTAATCATCTTTTTGGGTTTGTTACAAGAATGATCTCAGTAGAACTTGTGTTCATTGATCTAGAAAGGCAGTAAATGATCTAGGAAATGAGAATCACTAATCTTTTTCATAATTGAGATTTTCTTCTGTTTCTATGACTCTTTTTCTGATTTTTCCCTTAAAGCATATTCCCTGGGTTATTTTTTCCACATTCTAATCATTCTGTTTTCTTACAGAAAATTAATATTTTACTTAAATAAGTTATCATCTCTTGAAAGTAATTCCCCATTTTTTTCCCTAGCGCTACCTTGATGAAGCAGACAGAGATAAGGAGCGTTATATGAAGGAACTGGAGCAGTATCAGAAGACCGAGGCCTACAAGGTCTTCAGTAGGAAAACCCAGGACCGGCAGAAAGGCAAATCTCATCGGCAAGGTATCAGAACCTAAGCCAAGTACATCTGTGGCTTGTCTTGCCAGTGGTGACAGCTATGAAAGATGTGTCTCTTTTATTGCTCTATCACCCTAAATTCAGTTGTAAACATTTTATTGAAATCAAGTTGCCTTCATTTAAAAATTTCAGTGGGTTTCTATATCCAGGGTAAAGAGTTTGGTTCATGCACTAAATCACTATTAGTTGCCTGCCTCTCTTCTCCTAATTCATAGGTATTTCTCTTCTCTAAACATGTCTGTTAAACTGTGTAGCTGCCTCGCTCTAACACTTCCTAAGCCTTCCATGTGCCATTTCTCCCAGCCTCCAGTGATCCTCTTCCTTCATACATGCATGCGTTCAAAAAGTATTTATTAAACACCTTTTATTAAGTACCAGGCCCTCTTCTAGGTATTAAAGACACAACAGTGAACAAAATAGACAAAATCCCTATCTTCAGAGGTTTTTATTCTCTGTTAAATTGTTCATCGCACCCTTAACAAGTTTTGCTTCCAGCTTCCCTTCTTCAGGAAGCACTGCCAGAGAAACACACCCACAGCTAGTCTGTCATTCCTTAGCCAGTGCCTCTTCTCCATGCTTGGGCATCTAGCCTGCCAAAACTATAATGTTGTGCAAACAACCCTTGGTGTGTGTTTCCTGCCTACTTCCCACCCTGTTCTCCTCAAAGGTGAGAACTGTGTCTGCTTTTCTCATGTGCCAGATGGTATACTCTGTAGGTATGGGTTTCATTTAACGAACGTCAACTGACCAATTAATAAAGCTCTGTGGGAAAATGCTGTAGTTTGTGAGAGCCTGCATGTACCAGCAGGATTTGTAGTTCGCCACAGTCATATACTTGAGTTTTGCTGTTGTTTTCTCTTTTAACTTAATATTTTCTTGGACTTTCCTATTTTTAGATGCAGCCCGACAGGCGACCCATGATCATGAGGTAATTAGCCTTCTCTCTACCTATCATATACATTGCTGTTTGAAATGGTATTGGGTTTTGTTTGGTTGCTGTTATGGTTGTTTGTTTTAGTGAATGGCAGAGTGTTTCCAGTCCCATAATTCAGACTGAAGGAGTTGCTTTAGCTCAGGGGCAGACATTCAAGTCTGAGTCTCTGAACTATGGCTCCTAACCCTAATCTATTCATGTGATGAAAGAATGTTATTGGCCTTCAGTGGTGATGGTGGCTGGAATTCAGAGTGAAGTAAAGAAGTAAGAGCCAGCTAAAAGCTGTAACTTGACTATAGTGTATCACATCACATACCATAGTCTTACTCTAGAGAGATGTTGTTTTGGAAATCCTCCATTTGGTTAAAATGAACCCCTGGACTGCAGTGTCCGCAGAACACTGTCCTTTTGGTTCAACCTTTCCTATCCTTTTGGTTCAACCCCATTGACAAGATTTAGGCCTGTGATCCTGTGTGTATGGGAGATTTGGGCCTGTATGTGTTGTCTGTGTTATTTGTATTGCTGTGCCATGTGCATATATGGTTGTAAGAAAATAAATCTTCGGTAATTCTTGCTTTAAAATGCTCAGTAGCTCCTCATTGCTTTCCAAGTCACATTCAAACTCAGCCATCGAGTCTTCTGTAAATAAGTCTCAACTTCTCATTCCAAGTACCTTAGCTCCAAATACTTATAAACCTTACAAACCTTTACTGCAGTATCTCTGTCCTCCACAGTTGCCATCATGCACTGCTACACAGAATTCTTCACCCATCCTCCATCCTCACATTTTGAACCCTCAAAATCCCAGTCATCTTTCAAAGCCTATTTGAGTTCCATTTTCTCTTTCAAACTTTTCTTGTTTCCTCTACCTTTCTTTAACCCTCTGGGCCGTTTCTGTTATCCACATAGCTGATCTGGTGTTGCAGTTATCCAAGAACCTGTTATTCACAGTCTTGGAATATGAGCCCTTTGAGGCAGACCAGGTCTAGTTTCTGTGTATATCCAGCCCATCACCTAACATGGCAGCCTTGCATAGGGGAGATACGAGAACCTACAGTTAACTTGGAATTATAGTGGAAATTTGAAAAAAAGAATTTCAAGGTACCCTCTTACAAATATATTTTATTAAACCATAGAAACCTATTTTTCAAGTTAATAACTTTATTTATTTTGAGGGTGTAGTTCTCATACATAATTTGGTGGTGGTAGTTTCCAAAACATAAAAATAAGACTCAAATTCACAAGTCAGATACGTGAGTTACAAAGTGAGAAGCATAGTAAACATTATCATTTTATCCGTATAAATCCTAGTTAAATATAGTATAGCTATATATGACATTTCTGTGCTTTAATTGGGATGAAATGTTATGAATATTTTTGCTTGAGAAGCTGTGTGTGTAAAAAAGGAACTTTGTGTGTACACTTTGTATTTAAATGACTATTGAATAATGTTGCTAGCTTTCCATTTTATAAGAGACTTGTATAATTTGTACTCATTTTCCTCCAATATCATGAAATTTCTATATTACTCTTTTCCCCTCCTTTTTTGCATCTTTGTCTTTATTAGTTGCAGAGGAGAATTTGAAAAATAGTCTGAAACATTAGCTGTCATATTTTCTAACCAATCACTGATTCATTTCATCAGTATGGATTTTCTTGGCCAGACTATGTATAACATTTTTGTCTTCAGTGATGTTGATAGTTATAGTCAGAAAAGATGAGATAAATTTAATCAATTATAGACACTCCTCCTTGAAAAGTAAACCTTTTTATTAAAGATATTAGTAGTATATGAATTTTTATAAATTCTATGATTTATGAAAAGGGAGAAGTCTCTGTGATATTTCAAGATTAGATACTAGTTAGACCAAAGAGGTGGCAGCAGGGGAAACGTGGGTAGGTGGAAGAGCAGCAGTAGTTTCTCAAATGTGTGTATAGTAGGCCCTGTATATCTGTCTGCCAGTATGCCCATATCAGTATAAGGGTCTCTTAGGTTGTTAACCTAATGAATGTCTCTTACTTTTTTAGTTTTTATTTTTCGTTAATATTATTTCCTAAACTAAGTAAGTTCAGAACAATTGCAGTATAAGAGAACTGGTTTCAAAGGTTTTAATTGTTGTTTTCAACACTATTGAAAACTATCTTTAGGGGCTGGGGGTTTAGCTCAGTGGCACAGTGCCTGCCTAGCAAGCACAAGGTCATGAGTTCGATTCCCAGTACCAGAAAAAAAAAAACTATCTTTAGCCTGGCGTAGTGGCATATGTGTGTAATCTGAGCACTATGGGAGGCTGAGGCAGGAGGACAACTTAGCAAGACACAGTCTCAAACAGTTTATGTACTGTCTTTCATAAGTATAACTTCTTAGTATAATAGTTCAGAGAAATGGGAAAGGATTATAGCTGAAAAACAGCTGCAGAAGCTTCCATGGAGGAATGAGGAAAAGAATTAACTTAAAGATGACCCACCATTTTGTTTTTTGTTGTTGGGGTGCAGGGGCCTACGGGGACAGGTGGGAGTATGAGACATTTATGGATAAGTTAATAAAAGAATGAATATCTTGCAAAATTTGTAAACCATAGATTCTACATACACATACTTTCCTTATCTTATGAAGAGTAAAATGAGAAATGTGATAGAATGGTCTGCACTCCTTTTAGAATCCTAAAACCTCAGAGATCCTCTCCGCCAGCCAGTTTATTTTGGCTGTGAGGAAAACGACTTGCCTAAGACAGGAAAGAGTGTACCCAGAATCACTTACTGAACCAAGTTAGAGGCAGAAGTGTGGCAGAAACCCAAGCCTCTGTATCACAGTCTAGCACTCTTGGCAGCACAATGCAATGCTATATGGGATAAACTACACAGTGTTGAAAAGTGAAAACGGGCCTGGTTGCCTGAGATGTCAGCAAAATGTGTTGTTAGTTAAGAAATTACTTGGTTTGTGGTTTGGGGGTGTAGCTCAGTGGTAGAGCACTTGCATAGTATGTGCAAGGCCCTGGGTTCAATTCCTAGCGCTATGGCAGTGGGGAGACAGGGAGGCAGAGATTGTTTTGTGAATAGTAAAGAAATCTATTGTATTTTTAATGGCACTTGGCTCCCTGAGACATTATTACCTAGGCAGGTACTGGAGAGAGCATCTAAGAGTTTAAGAAATGATGACCTGAAAGCCATTCTTCATGACAGTGGGGCACTTCAGCATGGTACACAATGTGAAGAGCATTCCCCTAAGTAAAGGACACTTGAAAAAACCATGTCACACGCTTTGAAATTCTGGCCCTGAGCCTAGATCACAGCAAAATAGATTCAGTTCAAAAAGGCCTCTGTTCCCATACGCTTCTCTCAATATATAGAATGAAAACCCAGTGAAGAGTGTTCTTGCCGCTCTCAAATCAAAAGCCAGGCCACTAGACCCAGGAGTCAGCTTGTGTTATTCTCAAGAAAGTGTCTACACCTCATGCGAGGACAACGATAGAAACAATAATTTTGTTTCTCCTTTAATTTATGAGAAATGACAAAATGACACTCAGCCTGAACAAATTAGACCCTTTCAATGAGGAGGTAATCAAATCCTTATGATTTTAATCCCTTGAGCGATCCTTGGAGCAGCTTAAGTGTATCTGCGCCCCCAGGAGGATCCTCTCCATGCCGAGTAATGTACTCAGTAATGGAAGAGTGCTGATGGTTTTTATTACCACTCTTCCGTTAAGTAGAATTTCTCTGTTGCTTTCAGAGGCTGAACAGTTTCATCTAATTGCTTTAATGTTTCTTATTTTGCACTCTTAAGAATCTGCACCAAGGGGCAGTGTGTTAGTACGCCTGTGTGGGGCTATCCTCTGCCCTTAACATAATGGACAGCTCAGGCAAAGAGGAGAACAGAATTACAAGGCTGAGGAGTCAAGACCTTGGAGCAGGCTCTTTGTACCATGGTAATAGGAGGCAGACCCCCACCACCACCATCACCACTATACCATGTGCACGCACACGCGTGTGCACACACCTTGTGCACATACACGTGTGTACACACACATACACACCTTGTGTACACACACACATGTACCACTTACCCCTCTGACTGGCAGATAGTAAGACCCACAGCAAATAACTGACCTCATATATGTTTGTGTAGTGAAGAAAGAGATTAGACAAGGTAAGAGGATTAAAATCTAAGACTTTTTTCTAAATCACTTATGTACTTACTCTTGAAACTTACTCTTGAAACAATACGCACTAGCCTTATGCGTATTGTGGTTGTATATCATGAGTTTCCTGTTTTCCTACAAAAATCCAGTAACAAAGTTAAAGCATATGGTAAACCAGCAGAGTTAAAATGTGTTCAAGATCCCTTCTGGAGCCAGCCTTTCTTGCCCACACATTAGTTCTCATTGAAATCTGCTAGGAACTGGCGCAAAGTAGAGCTCTGCATGTTGAAACTTGGGGCTTTCAGTGATTATTTGGTTGTTTATTTTTAAATTGTTCTGGGAAACTTTGTTTTCTTTCAGTAGGAAAAGAAAGAGCAAAAATTAAGTGCTCTGAGATGTTCCTTGAGTAAATACAGTGTTTCAGATTTCCATGTTAAGGTCTATCTTGCCCACAGCCACTGGAAATCCATTCCCTTATCTTATCCCCATTGTTAGGCAGACACGGGTCTGAGACGGGAGCATGGCCTTCACAGTGCTCTCCTAGACTGCTGACTTCTGGGCTCTGCTGGGCACCAGAGCATTCTTGCTTTCAAAGGCAGAAGTAGTGGTAAGGAGTAGAAAAGGTAACAGTCTATCTCTAACTTTAAGCATGTTTTTATAAGAATAAATTCTAGGTATTTTGTGTGCTGTTTTTCATGTTACAAAGGTTTTATAATCTTCAGGGTTCACTAGCAATTTCTTCAGTACTCATTTCCTACTGTTCTCTTTACCATCTTACATTATTCAAGATTTTGAACACCACACCAAGACACTTATAATTATATTCATTATACTTTCAACTTAAATTTCATTGTAGAAATGGCAGCCAAAGCATCTTGAAATACTGATTTTATGCTTAAGGATCATTGTTGAATCTATTTTGCAGTGGTTTTGTGGGACTTTATTTTATTGGCTTATGGGTGAGTTAATTTCAGGCTTTATTATTCCTTTTCTAGCTCACATAATTCTTAGCTTTCTCACTTACAGAGCCTAGTTATTTCTGACCTGGTTTTGTTTGTTTGTTCATCCTAGAGAAAGTCTAAAAGAGCCCCAAAGATAGATTGTTCCCTCTATATAGACTGTTCTATTCTGATAAATAGATGTACCAGTAGAATGTCAATATTATTGCTCATGGTTGGCAGAGCTCTGCTTATAGTTTTTACTGTCTATTCTGCAGATTATCTCAGCATTTTACTTGCATGACTAATTTCTCGATTCTTGCCCCAACTCCTTTCACAGATGTATACTGTTGAGTATTCAAAGCATAGAACTAAGAAAGGGTGTCTAGATTCTCCACTAGAGGAATACAGGTAGATTTTTTTTAAGGTTTCTCATTGTACAGCAGTTGTACCCCTGAGAAAACTATTTAACTGCTTGAGCTCTGTGAAACTCCAATTCCAGTGAAAAGGGGAGAACAGTCCCCTCATAGGCTTACCTAAACTGAAAACTGACTCCTTCTCACCCTATTTTTTTTCTTTTTTCTTCTTTCTTTTGTTTTTTGAGGCAGGGTCTAGTTGTAGTTCAGGCTGGCCTCAAACTCATGGCATCCTCCTGCCTCAACCTGTCACATGCTGCTCAGCCTATTTCTTTAAGGAAAACATGATCATCATGCTTCAGGCACTACTATTTAATGCAGCTTTTAAGAGTTAACTTTTGTTCTTGGTTCACAGAAAGAAACAGAAGTCAAGGAACGGTCTGTGTTTGACATCCCCATATTTACAGAGGAGTTCCTGAACCACAGCAAAGGTGATTATTGCACTACAGTATTTTTGTGTCCTCAGGCCTTTGATAGGGGATTTAGTTCCCCAGAGTTCATTGCTCAAAAGCAGTGATAGTGATAGCCCTCCTGCTTCTGTTTCGCTCTGTTGAAAAAGCAGCTACTCAAAGACCTGTGAAGGAAAGATAGGCCAGTATTGTAGAGCTTCTTGGTCTCTGGATCAAAAAAAGCAAATGTAAATCACCAGTGCAGTTGCTTCCAGACTGGTAGCTGGAACCCTGTGTACCAGTGAAAGCTTACATGAGAGCCCAAAACACAGAGAATGATTGCAGAGCTGCTCCCCTTGCAGTACAGATGGGCACCATGTAGCTGGGCCTGGCCAGCCTCCCAGGATCCACCCTGCTCTCCCCTAGGGCTTCAAACTGCACAGTTTTAAAAAGTAAAATCCAACAAACAAATAACAACAACAGCAAATGCCGGGAATTGCCACTGTTTGCTACAATATTATGTACAGCACATATGGCTTTAAGAATTAGTGCTGGTGAGCTGTCATTTCATTGCTGAAATTGTGATCTAGACTGCAGTATGAGAGTAAGGAGATGAGGCAGGGTAGCTAATGAGAGCTGCAGAGCAGAACTTCCTGTAAGAGGCATGGGACCCCTCCAGGACTCCTCCTCATGCTGCCTGTATTCTGGGCGGGTCCCCAGCACGTGAGGCCGAGCTGCGCCAACTTCGGAAGTCCAACATGGAGTTCGAGGAGAGGAATGCAGCCCTGCAGAAGCACGTGGAGAGCATGCGCACAGCTGTGGAGAAACTGGAAGTGGACGTGATCCAGGAGCGCAGCCGCAACACAGTCCTGCAGCAGCACCTGGAGACCCTGCGGCAGGTGCTGACCAGCAGCTTTGCCAGCATGCCCTTGCCTGGTAATGCCTTCCCTCCTCAGCACTTCCAGTGGCAGGGTGAGGGGCTGTTCCTTTTGTTGGTGTTGGTATATGGAGGCTGAGGTCTCCATAAGAGGAAAACCAGTAAGATAAGTTTTTTTCCCCCTCAAGATTTTCTGTAGTATTATGTATCACAAACATGTACTATTAAAAAAAAAAAAAAAAAAAAGATTTTTCTATGGATCATGTATTAGACTGTCAGTACTAGCTGGGCATGGCACACACTTGTAATCCCAGCACTGGGAAAGCTGAGGCAGGAAGATTGTGAGTTAGGGGCCAGCCTTAGCTACATAGTAAAACTATCTCAAAAAAGGAAAAAGGGGAAATAAATAAATAAAAGGAAGAGTGGGGCTGGAGTTGTAGCTCAGTGGAAGAATGTTTGCTAAAATCATTCAAAAATTTCAGGCTTTTCTGGTCATATAAACTTCTCTCTACCTCTTACTTTAATATAATCTGTTTTCCTTTCCATTAAGCTGTATTTGATTTTCTGAGCAGTAGAAACTGAGAAATCCTGAAGAGAGCGCTTTCTTTTAATGTATTTCACCTCCTTGTATTTGTTTTGCTTTCATGAGAAGGAAGAGAAAACAAACACTGGTCTTCCTTATATACTCTCATTTGAGGGCAGTGACAGCAGAAGGCAGGCAGAGTCTAACCTTTTGTTACATACCACTACTGATATATACTGTATTATGTAGCCCATCTGTTTATTTAGAATGTGTGGATTAGCTTCTTCACTTTGAGGTCTAAAAGTCTTTCCTTATAAAATTAAAACCTGCCTGTAGAGCAGACCACATTAGAGTCACAATTTCTTTTCCTATGGATTCCCTTAAATGTTTTACAGTTGAGTTGAATGGGAAGACTTCCCTAATTGGTTCCTCTTCTCTCACTTCAGGAAGTGGTGAGACACCAACAGTGGACACCATTGACTCCTATATGAACAGACTGCACAGTATTATTTTAGCAAACCCTCAAGACAATGAAACCTTCATAGCTACAGTGCGGGAGGTTGTGAGCAGGCTCGATCGCTAGGGAACGGTGAGTACTCGTTGCTGGGATGCTTCTGTGGCAGGGGACCATCAGAAACCAGGTATCTTCAGACTGTCAGGACTGCTGAAACCCTGAAATGCATTGGAGGAATGAGCTGGAGTTTTGATGTAGAGTCCTGTTGCTTGGTTGCTAAAAGTCTTTCTAAATAATATTAGAAACAGAATCAAGACCATTTTTTTTCTCATGCATGCTTTAAAATGGTTTAAAATAGAAAGAATATGGTTTTTGTGCATGGACCTCAATTCTAGTTTTGTCACTTATTCTCAGGTGTTAGTTTCCCAGAAAATTTTGAAGACTGACTAAAGAATTTAAAAGAAATCTCTCCCAAAACAGCTCTCAAAACAAAATATCACTTAATAGTTAACCTTTCCTTTCCCTGAAAAATATTGATGATTTATAAGTGGTCATTGAGACATTTTATATATATATATATATATATATATATATATATACACACACACACACACACATGCACACACGTATACGTATATGGATACCTACATAAGAAGCATTCTCATTCACTACTTGATAGTAGAGTGGCTATAATATGTTAAATGTTGTGGACTAACTTTACAGTGAAATAGTGCATACCTTTATTAAAAAATAAACTGAGTAAGAAAAAAATAAAAATAAGCTTTTAGAAAGTATATTCAACTAATAACTAGTAGCATGTGTTATATCCTTTTAGAGGAGTCAGGAAGTACATTTCCAGAAGGGATCTGCCTGTGTACACATTTTGGTAGTAATGGTCAGTCATCAGTTATCATTGCTTAAGTGTTTACTCAGATTTCTAGAGATAAGGTGGTCTTTTAGTAAACCATCCCCAAAACTGGTGGCCCTTTGGTCTCTAGATTAAGTTGTCCCACACTACAGACCTGTAAACAGTAGAAATCTGAGTTGGACCAGACAGTGAGGTACCATACATTAAAACAAGAATCAGCAGTGAGAAACTCCTTCAAAGCCTCATAGGGTTGAATCTTTGTGCTGCAGGTCTAGGAGCACCCTTATACACTTAAATTTTGTTTTAGCCTGGTTTGGACTGTGAGCAACATGTAGAAGAATAAATAAAACCCATAATTCTTTATCTGATGAGGTAACATCTGCTAGCAGAGACAAAGGCAGAAGTCTTTATCCTTCTTGGTCATGCCCTTGGATGGTAACTGTACAAGACAATTCATTACCCTTCAGCTTGAGCCTTGCTTGGATGGGGAAAGGATTATTGTCCTTACAGTGCTAGCCAGATGGAATGGACTATACTTCTAAAAGATGGCTGGACTCACTGCAGAATAAAGAAGTGGCTTTACTGCTGCTGCTTAGGAAAGAAACAGCTTGTAAAACTAGACCTGGGATTTTCAGGAGCTCATCATCCTTCTTATTTTCACATTGTGTTTTCAATTAGCACTTTCGCAGGCTTAGAGAGCTGGGAAAAGCAGCGTGACAGTGGTGAAAGAAAACAATAATTGATAATATGGTGTCTCCTCACCTAGATATAGGGCAGTGAGTTCAAGAAGGAAGCCAAAAGTGGTTTCCACTTCAAGCACATTGCCATGTTCTCCATGGCTCTCCTGAAGCTCTGTTCATCTTAAGAATGTAAGCTGTAGTATCTGCTCTCAGAGGGATCTTTGAAGAACCTTGGATGTTACCATTCTCCTTGATTTTAACCTACAAATATTTTGTCCTTGAAAGAATACCTGCAAGTAAACTGTTACATCACCTCAGATTTTTACAATCTAGCCATGCAAACATAACTATGAATAGTTGGTTCCCCACATCACCTCCCAGACTGTCAAATGGAACAATTATGAAGCCTGTGATTAATACTAGTTTGGCCTCATTATACAAATATGTACAGACAGCTAGGCCTGATGTCCCCAGCACTCGTGCTGCAATTAATTACTTTGACATGAGCTTGGCAAAGGGTCCATTCCACTGTCAGGAGCCAGTGAGTGAAGGGAAGCTAATGGTCTACAAGTTTTAGAGGAACATAATAAAGCAGGAAGGGGCCTTTAGAAGTCCAACGTTTTATACACGAAGAAACTAAATTCCAAAGAAATGAGATGCCCTGCCTGAAAACACCTGAGAGGATGAGTACAGATACCTGACCCTCCATTCAGTGGGTTTCCGAGACGTAGTTGTAAGGAGGCACAGCTGGGGTAGGTCAAAAGCAATGAAAAAATCCTGCAACAGAGCATTAAGATAAATGGGAAAAGTCCAATCCAGTAATTATGTTACAAAATTTTGATCAGCCCTTTTAAGCATTATTTTTATAGATATACAATGGAAAAATTACCCCATCTGTCATCTTCTTGTGGCACAAATGGAACCATGAGGAGGCCAGGGTTAATTTTAAGTTGAGAGGTGACCATATTACATAACCATTAAAATGCACGTGTTTCCCATTTTCACTTGAACCAGTTGATAAATACTTGGCTGTTTCAGAATAGGAAAAAAGTCTTGTGTGGTTGCATTTTTATCACTCTGAGAAAATGCATTGGTCATCATATGTGTACAACATGCTCTACACATGCAGATACCCTTAAAGAGAACTGATGTTCATTGGAACACCATTTTCCCCGTCCTCAGATTTGTCCCTGATTTGTTTCTCTGTGCTCAGCTACTGATTTCCTAGCTCGCATGCTGACCTGGGGCAAGCCCTGCTCTTGATTGAAATGTTCTCTGAAACATCTCAGTGAGGCTGCCTGCTTGCAGCACTACACACACCCTGCTCTTCACCCCAACCCTTAGGAAAATAAAACTAAGCATTTTTTAATCATAGCTCTAACCCCTTCCCATCAGCACCTACCTTTTTGGTGTCTCCCTCCCAAATCTACAGGTCTTACAGCTCCCAGATGTCCCATAAGTGTTTTCACTTGTGTGGAATGAGAAGCCATCCATGGAAATTGGAACTGTTGGGGACCCAGAAGGACCACAGACCCCTCTGCTTGTGAAGAATCATCAGTGAGTGCAGCGCCTGTGCCCCAGGAAGCCAGATGAGGGAGCGAAGAGGCACATATGTGAGAACTCCCTACAGATCTTCCTCGGCGAGCTTTCAAAGTGTACAGCCACTCTGAGTCTTCAAGTCTTTGTCTCCTGTCATCTCCATCTGTGTTAAAGCAGATCTGCATATATTCTGCTGACTGGATGACTGTGAAACCACCGCAGCCCCACCTACAGCAGGCAGGAAGACTTCCTGTTGTCTCAGTTCCAATTGGACCCTTTTATTACTGGAGCTCCAGTTTTCTCACCTAGCTGTCACTTTTTTTAAATGCCTTTGGGGTGATTTTTGCTTTCCTTCACCCCCACCAAGTTACACATCTCTGTTTTCTGACCTCTGGGCTCTTGCTCAGCGGGGCTCTGAAGGAGCAGTTCTCTCATTGGATGGCCCCAATCTTCTCCCATCATGCCCCGCTGTGACTGCGAAGAGAGGAGCTTCTTGTTGACAGTGCCCTGTGGAGCGAGGCTGTGTTCCCCACCCCACACAGTGCTCAGTGGGCGCCAGCCCTCCTCACGGGCAGCTTTGTGATTGCTGCCCTGAAGGGGAAGGCGCCTTCTTCCTCCCCGAGTTGCCTGCTGTTTTCTGAGCAGTGCTCCTCCACAGACATGGTGTCCCCGCCCCAGCAAGGCTCTTCTGTCCCCATCTGTTGGCAGTATCTTGTGGAGCATTTTGCCGAGGAAAAGGTCATTGGTAGACAAGGAGAAGGGGAAAAAGGAGTTTTTGTTTGGTATTTATTCTTTTTAAGCCCAGATTTTATCCTGAGTGAACCTGAGGTTATCCCTGTCTCGTTTAGGTGTGAGATTCACAGACTTCGGTGTAAGCGGTTTTGGAAATAGTCTCTCGAGCTGGCAGAAAGGACAAGAGGAACTTTCATGTCCTCTGTCTTCCTTCTATAGCCATGAACTGCTGAATATGTGCAAAAGGAGTAGGATTTCTCTTTCTTTCCCTCTCCCTAGCAAGGGATTTTTGATTTTTTAACAGCAAAAGTGAAGAGTGTTCTGATCATCTCCTCAGGGTCTTTTTTCTTTTCTCTTTACGTTCTAGAGCACAAGGCTGAAGGTGGCAGCTGAGATCTTTGGAACCAAAGCAGACCATGCTGGGCCTATGGCCTTGGCATCCCACCACTGAAGGCAGGTGGATGGCAGTGTGGCCCGTCACAGTGTGCCCCAAAGCCCTGGTGCAAGCCAGGAATCCTGTCTTGTAGCTGCACCATTTCCTCTCAACACTGTGATCTTCTTGCCTGTGTTTGTCAGTCCCAAGGAAATTAGAGTAACAAGAAGTGTCACTCTGTGATGTCTTGTGTGAACACAGTTTCTCTGCACTGAAGCCCACCTGCCACCACTTGGCAGTTTTTAGAACCAGACCACTTCCTTCATTCTCTGTTGCTATAAAGCGAACAGCTCCCCTATTTTCCCATTTCCTTTCTCTCATCATAGTATTTTTGCCCCTTAGATTCCTTGTCTGCTGAGTCCAAGCTAGACCTCGCTGTCTGTGGCAGAAGGACGTCAAAGCTGGCTCTGGAAGTTGGTATCTGCCTTCTGCCAGATGCTTTCTGTCCGCTCTTCCTTCCTCTCGATATTTCTGTTTCTGCTTTGTATTCAGTTTCGTGCAGCGTCAGCAGCACTGCTTTTGTGGTCAGAAACGGCTGTGACTAGCTGAACACCTCACAATGACTGGACACGCATGCATGTGCAGGGGCACAGCTGGGACAGCCTGCATGCAGCATAGAGCCACACTCACAGAAGCAGCTCCATACCTGCCTCACGGTGCTGTGGGACCGTGAGGTAACAGGGAGAGAGGCTTGTGCTGCTCCTCTTTGTGCTGTCCAGGCTGGCACAACGCCTCATTGCTGTGTCCCAGGAGACCAGTAGACACTCCTGCGCTGACGCGTTCTCTTAAGAAATAAGCTGTTGCCTATTCAGTGTTAAAGGCTCCCTTCTTTCTTTTTATTAAAACACAAGGAGCAGCTGAGGAAAGGGAGACAAGGTGTTGTATTTCTGACAAGTTTTAGAAAAAATATTGTGTACATGTGTTTGGAACTGTTGAAATGCCAAGTTTTCTGTACAAGTGTTTTTGTAATTAAACTTTTAGATTTTCTTTGTTTTTAAAGAAGTTAATATGCTTGCTTGACATTTGTCTCATTAAAACTTTTTTATGTTGAATCTACCTGATCCAGTTCTACTTGTAGTAAAAAAAAGAATCCTACTGCTGCTTTTTCTTCGTAAAGGCTTTGTCAACTCCACATTAATCATCAAGTCTGCTAGGCTTTCAAAACAGTAGCACATTCATTTTACTAATTGCTTATTCAGAATGTGTCTTCACCTGTTTGAAAATTCAGCTCTTCAATGTATGATACAACAATACAGTGAGTCCTGATTTATTTTAATATGGCAGTAGTATTCTGGAGGCAGCTTGGAGGATATGTTTAAAGTCAGTGACTCTGAAGTTCCCTTGATAGGCAATCTTTTGACAGAAGTAAGCTGTGCTTAACTGTTTGCTTTTAAAAAATAACTGCTACTTATCCAGTCAAAATATGTTTAAAGGAAATGCTTTTAAGGTCCCTAAGGTCAGGTGGCCTGGCTTCCAGTGCCTTCTGCTGTCCAGGTAGCCAGCTGTGTAACGTTGCTTTGTTTCAACTCCAGTGTCCTCCTGTAACAACACACACCTGAGCTTTTACAGTATTATTAGGAGGAGAGAATTAGACAACAGAAACCACCGTGAGATACCAGGGTGTCAGAGTTAAGATGGAGTCCGACTACATCTAACAGAAATCCAGATCAGCAACAGCTTTAATAAGAAGCAGATTGGCCTCCTAGAAACTCATGCCAGCCTGAGACCAGCGTGGAGACTCTCGTCTGCACCACAGCATGATTTCTTTCTCAAGGTCACTTCATGGTCCAAAATAGCCACTTGGCCGACAGCCATCATTTTGAAGTTCCTGGCAGTGTGAAGGAAAGAAGGCAAGGACAAATCGGCAAGCAAGCCTAGATTTCTAAGAGTCTTCCTGGAAATCATACTCAACACTTTCACTTAATTTGGCCAGAACCCAGTCACATCCAAGAAATGTCATATTCTTGTGTACTGCCCCCAATAATGTACAAGTTTTAGCAGAGAAGAAGGAAAAAATGAATATAGAGTAGGCACTAAAATTAATGTCATGACTTGTATGTATGACTACACTGAGCCCAGTCCAGCTGTATTAGTGAACAGGATGTCTTATCTTTCCTTTGCCTCTTGGCCTTTTTACGTGCCCACCCCCCAAACTAGAAAACAAACTAGTTTCAGTCTGAATTGGCATTTCCTGTTCCCACCTTACCTCCTCCCCTACCCTTCAACAGCTGGTGGCCAGGTTTGTTTGGCAGAAGTCAACATAAACAGGTGGTAATACTTCCGCTATTTGTTTGTGCCCTTTCTCTTAACTGCTCAGCATCTGCTGGATTAAAACAACACCAGGATAATCTCCCCCTAAGGGTGGGGATATTGAAGTACTGTTTGACAGAAAAGCTCATAGCTACTTCCTGCCCTCTGAAAGAATTTCCTGTCTTGTAACAGAGAGCTCCAAATCGGGGGTTTTTTCTTTGTTTTATTTACCTTTGACATTGTCTACACTCAGATACTATGTGCTTTACAGTATCCATAGATACAAACACTTGCTAATGCGCTAAGTCATAAAGAAAGGTAAGGATTGAGAGTCAAGAAGATCAGGTGAAAATGTTAATGCCTAGCAAAAGGCAGAATGGAGAAGGATTCTCCAGAGCATAAGACTGGCACTGGGAAATTAAGAACAGACAGTGCAGGTTTTCCAGGTAGAAAGAATTTTGTAAATCACCCACAACACTAGGTCAGTTGGAAAACAAAAGGACTAGGCACAGGGTCTCTTCTTTGTATTTCCAACACTTCACCCAACACCTAAGAGCCGGTGTTCTTTATAATCAGCTCATCCTCATTTCAGTTCACTATTTGAGGCTAAAAAGGTGTTCATAAAATGTGATTTCAGACAACTGTAGTGGAAAAGATAAGTGCGTATATAAAAAGTTCTAACATAACAGACATGTATAAGTAGAGATTTAATAAAGGTAACTTTTTTAAAAAAAAAACAAGGTCTTGCTAAGTCCTTAAATCACCCAGACTTGAAATACTCCTTCCTTACCTCTCAGAGTGCTGGGGTTACAGGTGTGTCCCACTAGGCCTACTTAGAGGTCGGAGTGCAAGAGGAAGTAGATTTGAATCTTGGGAGATTAGTAACTAATAAGGACTTTGGATTGTAAATAAAATTTATTTTTATTTACTTATTTTGCAGTACCGCGGTGGACCTAGGCTGTACCGTCGGGCTACATCCCCACCCAGTGCTCTGTAGTTTGTTTTGCTTTATTTTGTTTTTGCAGTACTGAGTATTGAATTTGGAGCCTTCACACTGAGCTTCATTCCTTTTGACACAAAGACTTGCTAAATTGCCCACTCTGGGCTCAAACTTGAAATCCTCCTGCTTCAGCCTTCCAGGGTGCTGGGATTATGGGCATTCCCCACCACCACGCCTGCCTCCCCTGTAGTTTTTATGTGAGATCATTCATGTAAAGCAGAGTAGTGCCTGTCACAAAGTGAAAGATAAATACAGACTGACAATTTATGGAAGACTCAGGCGAAAGAAAAATAACAAGTAGACACATACTGTAGGCCAACCATTCTGTTCTGCTTTTTATATAAATCATGTCATTTAATTCCTACCCCAGCTTTACAGAGTAGGACTACTGTACTCACTTTATAGACATGTAGACAGAGATGAAAAGGGACTGATACCCAGAGGATTCTGGCTCAACTGTACCCACAGTTTCAGTGCTAGCAGGAACCCCCAGAGCTCAGACCAGCAGCACACAGCTCCACTGTGTTTCTGGAATGTCTTTTCTGTGCTCAGGTTCCCATGGAGCTTATCTCCTGCTGAGGGAAGTGAAACTGTAAGCTGTGACTAACACCTCAGCCACTGACCAGGAAGAGATGGAATGATAGGAACTAGGGCAGAGGAAAAGCCTCTCTGAAAATGTCTCTCTGGGCCTTTGCGCTGAGCTACATCCTCATTCCTTTTTATTTTCCTTTTTTGAGACAGGATCTCACCAAGTTGCTAAGTTTCCCCGGCTGGGCTCAAATTTGCCATCTTGCTGCGTCAGCCTGCCAAAGTGCTGGGGGATTACCATGAAAAGTATCTTTTGAGGAAAGATAAGATTGGCTTTACGGAGCCTGTCATGGGAGGGGCTGAGGGAATAGCAGGAAAGGGCTCTGGAATTCCAAGGACTAGGACAAAGGCTGGAGCAGAGGACATGAGATGGAGTGGTGCCCCATAAGGGTGCTAAAGAGCTGAAACTATTGCAAGTACAATGTGGAGAGAGCTCCACGCAGTGAATCATAAGGTCAGATTTGGATTCTTAGGGACCTGTTACTGCTGTGTAGAGAATCATGGGAGGCAAGAGAAGAACCAGGAGACCACTTAGCCCATCGGCACGGGGTCCATTGAGCAGTGACAGCAGCTTGGCCTGGAGGAGGCAATGGGGGTGGCAAGGAACAGATAGGCTCGGGATATATCTTGGAAGTGTAATGAGAAAAAGCTGTACAAGATTGGATGTGGAGAATGGAAGAAACAAATCAAGGACTCCGTAGCCAGGCATGGTGATGCCTACCTATCATCCCAACTACTCTGGAGGCTCAAGCAGGAGGATTGCAAATTCAAACCCGGTCTGAACCTCACAGACCCTGCCTCAAAATCAAAAAGGACTGAGGAGCACAGCTCAGTGGGAGAGCACTTTCCTAGGCTGTGCCTTAAGTCCCCAGGACTGGGGTAGGGGTGGGGAAGAAACACACAATGGCCCTAGTATTTTGGTTTGAGCAGCTGGGTAGCAGATAGAGGTGCGATTATCTGAGATGGCATAGACTTCAGAAACAAACACGGGGAGGAAAGATGAAGAATTGTTTTCCACTGGTTGAATTTAAGATTCCACCAGTGGTGAAGCCCTGAACCGAAACCTCTCTGCTATCAGTTTCATAATTCCTTTCGGCTCTTAAAATTCTGTGATTCCACGCGCTTCTTACTTCGGGTCAGTATTTGCCAGGATTCCTTCCCTGCTCTGCGCACGCGCACACGAACACCCTGCTTCTCAAGCTGCTTGCTGAACTGTGAAATTAAGGAATGGTCTCCTTTTTAATTCTTCAAGCTCCTTAGGAAAGAAATTTTTAAACCTCGCATCTGCATTTGTTCAGGATTGGCAAAAAGCAACTGAATACTGTAGAATATAAAAATCATACCATAACCTGATGGTTAGAAAATCCTGGGTAGTAATGGAAAGTGTCTGCTTGGAGGAGACTGGCCAAAAATAAATTGACATCCTCCAAAGAAGGGAAATATGAGACGTCGCAACACAGCCAGGAGTTTTATCGGTTCAAAAAATGTGTGGCCATGGGAGCTGCTTTTGCCCTCTGCCAGGCAGCCTGGGCTGGGCTGGGGAACACCCAAGGATAACCTGCCCTCTCGGGGCTGGTGAATTTTTTAAGTGAACTTACGTTATATTTATCAAAAGAAGGTCTTATTTTTAAGGAGGGACTAATGTGGTCGTTGTAGGTTTTACTCACCCCTCAGAAGGAGGAATATTTCAGAGAGATTCATTCATTCAGACGTCTCCAAGTATTTACTGTGCATTTCAGATATGAAGTTGAGGAAGCCCCTCTCCTGGGGGACCTCCTGACATAACATAAAATAGACACAAATGCTCACTTCAGTAGGGTCTGATAAGTGAGCAAACAGCTGTGAGCACAATGCTGTGGAGATACAAAGAAGGATTCAGGGGCTGGCTTAGGGGAGGTCAAAAGCTTTAGCAGGGTGAGATTTTGAACTAGGCCCTAAAACAAGAATAGTTCTTTAAGAGAAGCTAGAAACAGATCTGGAGATCCGAGTGAATTTTCGGTGTGCTCTCAAGTAATTCAGTGTGAGTGGAAAACAGATCACATCCAGAGGATGGATGAAAAAATAAAGAAAATGAGGGGTTTTGAAAATGGGCCCTAAAGGGGCCTTGAACACCACACTAAGGGATTTGGCTTTGATTGTGCAACAGAGGGAAGGCACGAAGGCTGCTTCTGCAAGGCAGTGACATGAGCTGAAGAAAAACCAGACCAAGGTTCTTATTCCTTTTTTGCCGCAAACCCTCTGACAGTGTAGTGGGCCCTTCTAAGAATAATGTTTTTAACTTCACAAAATAAAATACAAATAAAGTTGCAAAGGAAATCAACTATATCAAAACATAGTTATCGAAAATCTTAAAAATGTTATCTAGTGATAGTGGTACTTCTTAATAAAGCATTAAATAACATGATATAGCCACAGCTTTAATAATGACCATAATTTTAAAGTAGTAATGATCATAAATGATATCTCAACATCTGCTATAATGTGGTATGAAAATATCTACTATTCTACCGGTGGCACATTTTAAAGTCCTGCCAGTGCTGTTGGGATTGGTTGGCAAAATTTAGAATCAAAGAAAATGCAACTTTTCAGCTAGAGAGTTGTGAGGTGGGGATGTGGTTTTCCTCTATCTGTGCTCATGGCCCTTAGGGTCAGAACTCGGGAATTCAAGGCAGTGTGGAGGTACTGTTAGGAGGCTCAGGATGGAACAGACCAGATGAGAGACATGGTGGGGAGGGAGCAATGAGTTTGTCTTGGTCTCTCCGCCCTTGTAGAGGAATTTCTGGTAGCAGAAGGGCTGGCGAGCGGGTTCGACCTGAGAGGAAGGCAGCTCACATCCTCTACGTAGCTCTCCTTGTGCTGTCTGCTTTCATTTCTTTGTTTAGCTGTTTCCTGCCCTCTGCAGCAGGCACCAGGAATCCAGTAGGACAGAAATGTTCTTGCTCACATGGGGCTTACTATTTAGTGGGCAAATGTGACAAAACCAACAGAAGATGGTACCATGTTGCTGCTCGGGATCCAGTGTAGGGAAGAGCAAGTGTGCAAGAGCCTGCTGGCAAGGACCCCGTGAACTACTGTAGACAACAGGGTCTGGGAAGGCCCCTCTGAGAAACAGACATTTAGGTACAGTCAGGGAGCATGAAGCCAGTTTCTCGTGGTGCTTTAGAGGAATTGAGAGAAAATCAAGAGAGCCAGAGAGAGAGCCATGGGGAAAAGCAGGGAAGGAAAACAGTTGTGAGCCCACACAAGGCTGTGTGGCCCATCCTGAGGGTTTGGAGTATTCTTCAAGTGCGAGGGGAACTCATGGAGCATTTCAGAGAGACTTATGATATAGTCGGATTTGCAGTTTTAAAAAAATTCCTCTGGGGCTGGGGCTGTAGCTCAGCAGATCACTTCCCTAGCATCAGCAATGCTCTGGGTTCAATCTTCAGCAATGCAAAAAAAATTTTTTTGTTAAGTCCTGGCTGCTGTGCGAAGAGTGGAGGGTAGGGGGCGGGCGTTGCAATCAGGAGGTAAGTAAGTGGTGGCTGTGGCTGTGACTTTGATCCTGCTGGAGGTGGTGCTGCCTGAGACTAAGGCTGTAGGAGTAAAGGGGGTGCAGGAGGGGTTGAACTATTCCAGTGGTGGGATGAACAAGACGAAAGCTAGCCTGGAGGAAGAGCAGGAGGCCAGAGGCTGCCACTAGTGGGTAGGTGCGCACCACTTCGTGGGCTGCAGAGACCAGAGGAGGGGTGTACTGGGGCAGGTGGTGCATTGAGTCAGAGGCCTTGTGTCCTGCTCATCTGAGAGGCAGGCATTTCAGGTACTAAGTGAGCATTTCTATTGACATTCTAGAGCATTACAGATAGGTCTGGACCCGGGATGACATTTACTGAAGTGTTCCAAGCTTCTTTTGTTAGCACTGTGCCACTTTGCCAGCAATGTCAGACCCCACCTCCCTCTTCCAACCCCAAACTAAAGATTTCCCTGTTTTACCCTTCACCCTGCTGCCACTGTTGACTGTCACACTCTTGACACAAGGACCCCCATCTGAACCTGGGTACAGTTTCTGTGGACTTAAATCAGGCAGCATCTTTACAGTGAGTTGTTCAGAGTTCTTCTTTGTGGGTTACACTGTGAGGTTCTGCAGAGATGGAGGCTTTATATACATAA